ATTTAAAACAGTCTTAAAATATAAGAACAAACTAGGAATACTAGCTAAAGACTGAAGATTAAATATACGAAAATTTTTGTCGTAAATACAAAAAGTAACGATAAAAATAACTGTATAATTCGTTACCGTTACAGTTACCAAAAAAAAAGAATAACGTCGTTATTAATCCGTTACCAAAAAAAAGTAACTGTAACGATAATGGCGTTACAAGTAACGAGTTACTTCTAATCCCTGTGTAATTGTTGATGAGTATTTTATGCTTCAAATTCGGAGCAATATTCGAATTACTGATGTGTGTATAGCTCTATACACGCCGCGTCAATAAAATTAAAAATATTAGACTAAAATATGGACAAATAAAGAAAAGCAAAAGGAACGGCCAATAAATCGAGCAAATCCTTCGAGCAATTCCTTTTGCTTTTCTTTATTTGTTCAATTATCGCGGACGAAAATTTGATGTGACTAAAATATGGAATTGCATTTTAACCCCGTTAAACATAAATGAGATTCGTGTTTTGATAACACATATTGCTAAAATATTACGAATGAAATTTCATGTCTCCTGCAATTCGACGTTCACATTCATTGCTTTTCATCTGGATAACGATGAACTAGCCTCTGACCTTCCACTTATGGCTGACTGCAAACTCATCATTGAACCTCTGAAGGAAGCCAATGAAAATGCCATTACAAGATTATTCTACATAAAAGTGAAAATATACACCGCATATGTGTTATATAAGTAAGTACCTGTAATGTGCAGATGGCAATGTTTCATAAAAGTACATAAGTTGAGCCTTATGAGAGCTAATAGATGGAAGAAATTCGACTTGTTCTTCCTGATTTTGCCATTGTAATACATAAGTACCTTTATCCTGCATGATATGAGTTCCCTGTAAATTAAAAAAATTAATAATTCTATAGAAACATTAATTGTATAACTGTATATTATAAACACCTATGTATAATAAAAAACCACATTATATATTAAATTTTATTTTACTACAAATATATTTATATGCAAACTCTTTAGTACGGAAAAAACAACAAATTACAGTTTAGATTATGTTTAATACAATAGAATTAATTAAATGAAATTGAAATACTATTGAATATACTTTTATATATTTTTGTTTTGTTCAAGTTTGTGACTACGTATTCATGTGGATATATATCTTGACTTCACCAAATATAATATATAAATTATGTGAATGCATACCTGGATGCTTTCACCATCGT